CCTTTAATTTTTCAGTGCAAGCAAAGGCAAACATACCTGCTCACTGTCATACACACAACCAAACATCTCTGGACTATTCAAAGCAAATTCACCTTCTGATTTTCATCATGGAAACATCTTTGATAAGTGGCACTTCCTTCCTCTATAAATCATGCAAAACAGACCCATGATGCCTGAATTTGATAATATTAAAAATCATGGCCATGGCCATCTCTCTGTGTAAACTCTGTTGGGTAAGGCTTGCCATCACGGTGTTTCTTTCCTGAGGATGGAGCTGGTCCTGTCTGTGTGGATCATAAGTGTGCATGCTCGGAGCTGTGGTCACTGTTGTGGCTGTCTTCATTGTCCAGAGAGTCCCCTGTTTGCTGGAGCGTGGCCACCAATCCCTGACAGCTCTGAAGGGAGCAGGGTTCCTTTCTTCACGTTCACCAGTTCCTTTTCTCAGGCAGCAGTGCCCAGCTGGCCCAATTTTACCCTCTTCCTCTTCATCCCTGTTCTGGAACCACACTTTCACCTTGGACAAAGAAAGGAAACACACGAAGCAAAACAGAACATTAAATTCAAGTGCTTTCTCCTTTTGGTCTGCCTAGGAGAACCAGATTCTCAAAGGTTTACACGAAGACACCATGGAAGAGGGTAAATATAAAAATAATCCCACCCTGAGTTTAATCAGGTTGCATGTTTGTGATAATAATTTATAAACATTCAGAAGATGCACACAAATGATTACCTTTCATATTTAACAACAAAGAATTCATTGTAGTATTACCTCCCAGTTTTTGCTTTGTGGATTTAAAAATTAAAAATCACAATAATAAGAGAAGTAGACAAGGGCTTATCATTCAGGATGTCTCCAAGGTATTTGGTTCTGCTCTTGCATGATAAACCTGTGATGGAACCTATGTGGATACGTAGCCAGGAGCTTCAATAGGTTGAATGTTATGTAATGTTCATCTTAACACACTAATGTGAAAAAAAAATGTTTCCCAAGGTTGTATCAGTTTAGTTTTCTTATTCATTCCAGGGCATAAAGGTTCAAGTTCACCCAAATCTTTGCCTGCATTTGGATTTACCAGGTTCAACTTTTTTTTTACAACACAATGACAATAAATGTTATCTTACTGTGCTTTTATTTTGCCTTTCCTGTTTTCTAATGGAGTCAAGTATCTTTGAAGAGTTTAGGATCCAGAGTTGGTGCCCATGTCCCATGTTGTAGCACCAGGAGTCCTGGCTGCTCTGTGTCCAATTCACTCCCTGTTGCTGCACCTGGAAAGTGCTGCCATTTGGGGAGTGAGCCAGTGTATGGAAGGCCTCTCTCTCTCATTTCTCATAGATAAATTAACGTTCTTTTTTAAAAAATAATGGCCCACTGTAGTGCTTCTATGAAATACCTCCCTGTATCTGGTATGAATTCTTTTTAAAATTAATCTTGCTCTTTATGGACTTTAAAATGCCTGAGTCCTAATTTAATACTTCAGTTGTATGGAAGCTACTATCTTCTCTGTTTTGTGCCCTCCCCTTTTCTTGGAGTATTGTTGATGATCAGAAGCTCTTAATGTATTTATATTTACACACTGTTTCTTTAATGGTTAGAGCTATTGAAGGATACTCTCTGCTGAGGCCACAAATGTATTCTACATTTTCAAAGAGTTTAAGGTTTGCATTTCAAATTGAACCTGTCAAACCAGGAAGTATTGATTTTAGTATACAGAGGAAAGCAAATGCTTCCATTTATTCTGTGTGAATAACAAGTTATTCTTGGGGCCAGTGCTGTGGTGCAGTGGGTTAACGCCCTGGCCTGAAGTACCAGCATCCCATATGGTGCCAGTTCGAGACCTGGCTGCTCCACTTCTGATCCATCTCTGCTGTGGCCTGCAAAAGCAGAAGATGGCCCAAGTCTTTGGGCCCCTGTACCCATGGAAGATTGGGAAGAAGCTCCTGGCTCCTGGCTCCTGGATTCAATCAGTGCAGCTCCAGCCATTGCAGCCAACTGGGAAGTGAACCAGTGGATGGAAGAGCTCTCTCTCTCTCTCTCTCTCTCTCTCTCTGCCTCCCCTCTCTCTGTGTAACTCTTTCAAATAAATAAATAAATATTTAAAAAGAACAAGTTGTTCTAGGTAGCTTTTTACGAAAGTCACCATTTTCTCAGTGATCACTGTTTCAATTCCATCATCAATAAAGCTTCCATGTAGAAAGTGGCTTCAAAAAGCTCACAGAAAATGGAATTAAATGATAACTTCTTGTGTTCCAAGAGGTTTCTGAGGGTTTTTTTTTCAAGATTTATTTTATTTATTTGAAAGTTATGCTAATGGAGACAGAGAGAGAAACAGAGAAAGAGAAAAATCTTCCATCTGTTGGTTCACTCCCCCAGTCAGATGAGCCCACAACCACGTCTGGGTCTCCCATGTGGGTGGCAGGGAGTAAGTACTCAGGGCATTGTCTGCTGCTCTCCCAGGTGCATTAGAAGGGAGTTGAATCTGAAGCAGAGCAGCCAGAACTCAGACTGGTGCTCCACATGGCATGCTGGTGTTACAAACAGAGGCTCAATGCCCTGCACAACAGCACTGGCCCCATCCATGAGCTTTTCAAGGCCCCTATGCACAGCTTTCTGCTTACTCTGTTCTGTCCCTGGGTCAGTTTTTACCTGTGAGAACATAATATTTTCATTCTTGCTGTAATTTTATACCAGATCTTTGTATCTGATAGGGACAGGTCTGTTTCACCACCAAATTATTTCATTCTTTACACCAAATATATTTTGAATGTTCTGCATTTTCATATTTGAAATAATCTCAATTTCTGTGAATACACAGTGACAATGGGAATGTGCTGAGAAATAACTCAAATTTCCAAAGACATATTTATGTCTGTAACCTTCAAATCACATGATTCATAAAAGTATAAATTCCTTAGACATTTACACAATTAAATACTGAAATTGAGATGATTCTTAACTAGGGATTGTCACTGCTTTCACTGCTGGGTTCAATTAACATCATGTCTCATTTATTACCTATCTATACACTAGTCCATTTGATAAAAATAATACAATATAGTAAAAATTTGATTTAAAGTTCAGTGGTGAGGGGTCAGCACTATGGCATAGCATGTAAAGCTGCCACCTGAAGTGCCAATATCCCAAATGGGTGCCAGTTCAAGTCCTGGTCACTCCACTTACAATTCAGCTCTCTGCTATGGCCTGAGAAAGCAGTGGAAGATGGCCCAAGTTGTTGGGCCCTGCACCCATGTGGGAGACCCAGAAGAAGATCCAGACTCCTGGCTTCAGATTGGCTCAGCTCTGGCCATTGCTGCCATTTGGGGAGTGAAATAGCGGATGGAAGACCTCTCTCTCTCTCTCTCTCTCTCCCTTTTTCTCTCTCTCTCCCTCTTTCTCTCTCTGCCTCTGCCTCTCTGTAACTCTCTGCCTTTCAAATAAATAAAGATTTAAAAATATTTGATGAGAACTGACATATTATTACTGCTTACCACTCATAAGGATCACTGCATGCATCATGTTACAGCATATGTGCTACATGTGCTTTATTTCTAATACACTTTCCCCTCATGTTGTGAACATTATTTCTATGTTATAAATGAGACAATTGAGGTAAAGTTTACATGAACATGACACAGATGGAAACTCTAACCCCAGGATTTAATCTAACAGCAGATTTAAACACCTATGTCTTTATCTGGCTCCAGAATTGGGGTTTGGTTTTTTTATTTGAATTCTATCTCAAACTCCTGTTTTTAGAGCATTCAGGATAAGAAGGTAAAGTACAGGATTGTGCAATGCGTGAGCACCATCCATATGGTGACTCCCATTCACGTAATTCCTCTACTTGCTGTGACTGGGTTGGTAAATGGGGCGCTATTTTCCTGCCCTGTACTTTAGGTAATTACACTACTCAGTCTAATCACCATGTGAGCTTGACAGTGCAGGTTGCATTAGATCTGTTGCACATGAGCTGGGTACTACTCTTGGCTTCACTTCTGAGTTTTTGTGTGAATTTGGGAAAACCACACTTTTCTCTGTCTCAATTTTCATATTTGTGATATTGGAATAATGAGGCTTTCAAGATTCTCCATAGGGATATTTTCTCCATTGACCATTCCAGATGGAAACAAAAACAACATGTAAGTCATCATCATAATCACTGTCACCAAGACTGAAATTCATGCAAAATAATCTTGACAGGAAACAAAAACGGGAGGAATAGAGTTATTGAAATCCATGCTTATGTTCTTCTCTAGGAGAGGAGGTACAGTAATTCTGTAATACCAGCATCCATCTGTCATGTGCAATTTCACATGAGAAAATTCTAAGAAGAAGGTACGGATTTTAGGAATACGACTTTGTATTTAAAAGAAAGTATGTCCATTGGTTTTCTTTCTCACCATATGACATTTTACCATTTAATTTTTAAAAATTATTTGTTTTTATTCATTTGAAAGGCAGAATGAGAGAGTGAGAATGAAAGAGATTATCTTCCATCTCTTGTTCACTCCCCATAACCACAGGAGCCAGGAGTGGGCCATACCATAGTCAAGAGCCAAGAACTCCACCTGGGTCTCCCACCTGGGTGGTAGGGACCCAAGTAATTCAGCCATCAACTGATGCCTCCCAGGGTGAGCATTAGCAGGAAGTTGTATAGGAAGTGGAGGTGTTATTGGAATCCAGGCACTTTGCACATTTGCATTTAATGTGTATAATATCTGGTCTCCTAGGCTTTACATTAGAGAAGAAAACAAATTATATATGAATCTATAGTGTCTCATAATTTCCTAAGGTGGCCACAGTGAATTAGGTTAATGGGAAGCTGAATCTATATAATGTCATAATCCATATTTATTGTACCATAAATGTATGACTTTTGTAGAAACAAACAACCATAACACCAAACATCTGGATGAAATCTGAAAATTTCAGTGACATATCCAGATATCTACACATCTGGAATTTTTAGATTTAATGTTCCAACTGCTTCCATTTTGTCTGGGCACTTGAAACACTGTAGACACTGTCTAACAAATATTTATTCACATCATAAAGATGTGAAAACATGGAAAGAATCATTGTACAAATACAATTTTCAGATTTAATCATATTCCAGTGACTAAAGTGGCTCTGGCAGTTAATGTAGACAACCCAATGTCAACAGGCCCTGCAGACTTAACCAAGTAGTTCAGCGGCAAAGTGGGGAGTTGAAGTGAAGAATTCAAACCAAGAATGCTTTAAGGTAAGAATGAAAACGAAAGAAAAGAAAGCTTCTCCACTTCTCCTGCCTGCAAGGATAGACATATGTCTGCCTGCCAGTGGGGTCCCTCAGCTAGTTCCAAGCCACCAGTGAACTCTGCTCTGCAGCTGTGCGTTGAGGTTGGTGGTGCTTGATGGAAGGGGTATAGGGATAGAATACATTGCATGACTAACAATTGAAACCCTATTTATTGGGCTGCCTCTTGCCTTTATCATTTATTTTAGCACAAAGCTGGTGATAGATGAATCATTTTTCTGTCTCTATAGTTTTCAGTTCTGAAACTTGTTTTTCCCCTTTACAAATCAATCTTGTAAAACAGGCTCTTTGATGTAGTCATACAAGTTTTACTATCCCACTTTTTTTTTGCATCTTTATTTATTGCAAACACACATATGGAGAGGGCAACAAAGAGGGATCTCACCCAGTGGATCATTCTCCAAATGCTAGCTACTGCCAAGGCTGGGACAGGTCGAACCAGGAACAAAGAATTCAGTCAGTATATCCCAAATGTGTGGCAGAGACTCAACAACTTGAGATTTCACCTGCTGCCTCCCAGGATGTGCATTAACCAGGAAACTGGAATCAGGAATGGAGGTAGGACTTGAACCCAGTCACTCTAATTTGAGATTGCAGGTGTCCCAAGCAGAGTCTTAATCTCTTCACCAAATCCCTCCCCCCACATGTTTTTAAGAAAACTGAATACTCAACAGCTATTGTGAGCCATGGATAAATAACATGTTGAACAATAAATAACTCTTGTTGTGACAAATAAAATTTGATGTAAGAAATGTTAATCTCTTGATATTATTAAAACTAATCTTATGAAATCTCATTCTTCTTTCCAAAAGTGAACCAAAGTATTAATTCATGTGATGAGCAAAGTTGTTAGAAGTTTCATTCCTTTTAACTTGATCTTTTTGAAATGTCACAGCTGTAATAAATGCTAATAATTTCTTCTTACCTGATGAAGTTCAATGAAAATTACTTATTTCATTAACATTTAATTACAATTGGAAAACACACTACTTTGAATAACCACATTTCCATACAAGGTGAAAAAATACATACTGCTTTTAGTTATTCAAAGTGAAATATCATTTACTTAGTACATCATATGGGACTTTAGCAAATTGAGGTGAAAATATCAAAACTAAGTTACTGTTTTTTCTTTACTTTGCTATAAAATTCCTAGCTGGTATTAACTGAAGATATGAATTTTTGTATTCAAAGTAATTACTTTATTTCTTTTTCTTTTTTTAACTTTAACATAATAAATATAAATTTCCAAAGTACAGCTTATGGATTACAATGGCTTTTTCCACTCATAACTTCCCCTCCCACCCGCATCCCTCCCATCTCCCACTCCCTTCTCCCCATTCCATTCACATCAAGACTCATTTTCAATTATCTTTATATGCAGAAGATCAATTTAGTATGTATTAAGTTAAGATTTCACAGTTTGCACCCACACAGAAACACAAAGTAGAAGTACTGTTTGAGTACTAGTTATAGCATTAATTCACATTTCTGTCTTTTTCAAACTAACAAGACCAAACTAGATATGACAGCTTTTTTTTTCTCTTATCATCTTGCCTAATCTCTCAATGGTGTTTAAAAACAATTAGAAACATCACTATCAATATACATTATTATAATTAAACAACTTCTGCTTTCCCCATCATCTCAGGCATATCTATCAAATGTATTCAGTTAAAACAGTGAATCTCACCAAATTTATGAGTAAAGAACCATAGGACATTATCAACTTATTATGTCTGAGTCTAATTGAATTAATACTGATATGTTCTGGTTGTTATCAGCATATATGTGAGCTCTCACTGATCATTCATTTACTAATTTAGAGACTACTCCCTTATATCTAAAATCATTATAAGAATTCACAAAGATTATCATTACTATTGTATGAGTACACATTGATTCCTTTCCCCAAAATAGTCAGTAATTTCAATAACTGGAAGAAAGCAAAAAAACTAAAAAGTATATATTATGCATAAAAATTGGGAGTGATAAAATGATTTAAAGTATAACATTTACTTAAATTGAATGTATCTCTGAGTTTTTCATAAGTTATGGGTATATGGAGATCAAATAGCACAGTCTTTTATAGACAAAGACTCCAGAAATAGTTCTCTTTGGCCTGAGTTCATTACCTTTTTAGAACAACTCTTGTTGAAATTAAAGATGTCAACACAAAACTTTCACTGGCTTTTCAAACTTTCTAGAATTTTCTCATGAAATAAAAAAATGCATGCAAGGCTAGTGTGAAAAGAAGTGCAGGAAGTGTCCTCTCACAGCCAAATCTCCTTCCGTAGCATCACACATAAACCATGACATTTGGCTGTGATCCGCAATAGCCATCAGAATGTAACTGCTGACTTGTTGATTAAGTGCAAATTAATGTTTTAACTGCTTATTGAAGAAATTCAGGAGCCAAGTATGGAAAATTCTTAGACAATGCTGTCTTCGATGATGTTGTCCTTTCATTGTACTAAGTTGATGACTGCTCATGCTAGCAAAAAGTACAACAAATTTCAATTGTTTAAAACTCATTTTTATGTATATGTACACATATATATGAACACATATACACAGATATGTAGGTCTGTGTGTGTGCTCAGAAATATTTCTTCAACTTTATAGCTGTGTGTCTATCATCTATCTACCTCTCTATTATCTATGCAGGGAAAGAATAGCACTTTTAAAGAAAAAAGACCATTCTCAAGGGCAGTAGTTAGGATATGACCTTATTTTTCAGAGTTTTTGTCTTTGTCATTTCAACTTTGAATATTATGGTTATGAACCAGTTACTTATTTCTCAGTCTTCTACTTCATATAGGCAATATTTTTGAAAATCAGTGTATGGAAGGTTTGAAATATTGGTCGCTGTATAGATCTGTCTTTTTTTTTTTTAACAGGCAGAGTGGACAGTGAGAGAGAGACAGAGAGAAAGGTCTTCCTTTTGCCTTTGGTTCACCCTCCAATGGCCGCCATGGCCAGCGTACCATGCTGATCCGAAGGCAGGAGCCAGGTGCTACTCCTGGTCTCCCATGGGGTGCAGGGCCCAAGCACTTGGGCCATCCTCCACTGCCCTCCCAGGCCACAGCAGAGAGCTGGCTTGGAAGAGGGGCAACCAGGACAGAATCCAGTGCCCCGATCAGGACTAGAACCCGGTGTGCTGGTGCCGCTAGGTGGATGATTAGCCTATTGAGCCATGGCGCCAGCCAGATCTGTCTTTAATGTTACTATTTCTTAAATGATTTTTTTACTTACCATAAGCTTTTTGTGTATGTGGAACCTACACAAAAGAAGCAACTGACTTTTACTCCAGGTAAGTGTTAAATACTGATCCAAAGAAAGAAGCACTATTATAAAATCATGGTAAGAAAGGCCATCTCAGAACAGTTGAACAGACAATATGGTGGCTCACAGAAACAAAATCGATTAAACTAAGTGTTTTCATAGTAATTTACATAAATAAATCTAGAATGGGAAAAATTCTGTTAAAAATGTGCAAAAGACAAACCCACTGTTTATGTGGTGTACAAAATTATTTCCTTTTTAATACTCATCCAAAAAAAAGTGGATGGCTATGTTGAAAATACTTGGCATTGAGCCACTGAATGATTTACGAGCAGCAAACAAAACATAATCCTTCTTATTACTGCTAATGGAGTATAATCCAACAAGGTGGGGATTTTCCATTTATCTTGGCAGAGGTATTGAGTTCTCAGTATGTTTATTCCACTCATTTTAGCTGCTTTAAAAATCCACAAAATTGCACCTTTGATTAGCACTGTGGAAAAGATTTTGTGAAGTGGCAGGATCTCCCACTACTTCTACATTTGGCAGCCTTCACTCTGTAAAAATGTCCTTTTTACCACTCCCTGTTAAATTCCCATGCAGCTGTTTTCTCTTTCTTCCCCCTGTCAGATACCAGATATCTGGCAGGAGACTTCTCCAAGCTTATCTGGATGAAAAAAAAAAAAGCCAGAATAAGCTCATCAGACTTGAAAATACCTTGGCACAGGAGGATCTTTAGACAGACTGGCTCTTCAAAATATTCTAAGTGGCCCTGCCAATTGAACATTATTAGCCGTGGCTCTTGGGGATGTGGGAGGATAGGTCATAAACTGGAAGCTTTGAGTTAGAAGCTGGAGAGTGACTGCAGTGATAACTGCTCCACAACACAGCTTTAGAATTAAAAGACTTGAACCTCATCTTTGCTCTAAGGTTAGCATTTTTAGTGGAGCTGGTTTTCAATACGAGCCTCTTGTTTTCTTTCTGGTTGACCAGGTGGATTATGGAAGAAGACACCATTTAAGAGTCTGCCTTCTTTGAGAAATTTCACAACCACTATTTTTTTTAACTTTTATTTAATGAATATAAATTTCCAAAGTACAGCTTATGGATTACAATGGCTTGCCCCCCATAACGTCCCTCCCACCACAACCCTCCCCTTTCCCACTCCCTCTCCCCTTCCGTTCACATGAGGATACATTTTTGATTCTCTTTATATACAGAAGATCAGTTTAGCATACGTTAAGTAAAGATTTCAACAGTTTGCTCCCACACAGAAACATAAAGTGAAAAATAATAATGATTTTTTTAAATGATGATTAAAGCAGATCAGACCTATTGTCATGTTTAATCCCAGTGAGAGTCAAGTTGGGAATTGATAATTTCTTCTTCTTTTTTTTTTTTTTACAGAAGATCATTTTAGTATACATTAAGTAAAGATTTCAACAGTTTGCACCCCCATAGAAACACAGTGAAATATACTATTTGAGTACTCGTTATAGCATTAAGTCTCAATGTATAGCACATTAAGGACAGAGATCCTACATGAGGAGTAAGTGCACAGTGACTCCTGTTGTTGACTTTACAAATTGACACTCCTGTTTACGGCATCAGTAATCTCCCTATGCACCAGTCACGAGTTTCCAAGGCTATGGAAGCCCCTTGAGTTCTCCGACTCTTATCTTGTTTAGACGAGGTCATACTCAAAGTGGAGGTTCTCTCCTCCCTTCAGAGAAAGGTACCTCCTTCTTTGAAGACCTGTTCTTTCACTGGGATCTCACTCACAGAGATCTTTCATTGAGGTGTTTTTTTTTTTTTCTGCCAGAGTGTCTTGGCTTTCCATGCCTGAAATACTCTCATGGGCTTTTCAGCCAGATCCGAATACCTTTAGGGCTGATTCTGAGGCCAGAGTGCTGTTTAGGACATCCGCCATTCTATGAGTCTGCTGAGTATCTCGCTTCCCATGTTGGATCACTCTCCCCTTTATTTATTCTATCGGTTAGTGTTAGCAGGTACTAGACTTGTTTATGTGCTCCCTTTGACTCTTAGTCCTTTCATTATGATCAATTGTGAACTGAAATTGATCACTTGAACTAGTGAGATGACATTGGTACATGCCACCTTGATGGGCTTAAATTGGAGTCCCCTGGTATGTTTCTAACTCTACCATTTGGGGCAAGTCAGCTTGAGCATGTCCCAAATTGTACATCTTAGGTTTTTTCTAAAATGAGACCCAAGGATTGCAAGCCTTCAGGATGACATGCATAAGGCTTATTATGAAATGCATTCAATAAATAAGGTAGAGGTAGCTAAAAATGACATCAGTTATAGAAATGGATGTTTCACAGGTAATCACAATAAATTTACGTATGAAAACATGTCAAAGACTAGTTTTGATTTTTAAGTCAGTTGTCATTTAAGAGAAAATTATTTCTCTTAAACAATCCTACCATGGAGCTAGATGAGTTAACACTTATTGTTTTTCCCATTTGCAGGATAGAATTTCTTTGTACTTACATCTTGAAAAGCTTTGGACAAGTCAAGACAGGCATTTGTTAGATTTAGAGATTTAAAGGCAGAGAGAGAGAGAGAGAGGAGAGAGAGAGAGAGAAGTAGAGAGAGATAGGGTGATCTTCCATCTGTTGGTTCACTCTCCAAATGGTCACAACTGCCTCAGGCTGGTCCAGACAGGCATTTGTTAGATTTAGAGGATCCTATTTAAGTGAAGGAAAACACTGATCAGTATGAGGTTTGATACAATATTCCTTTGTGAGTATGTGTAAGTTCCTGTACTAAATCACAGTATTTCAAAGTGTGCATTGAAGAATGCAAGTGAAAAGAATGCATATATGTAGTTAGATTTTTTAAAGATTTGTTAATTTATTTGAAAGTCAGAGTTATGGAGAAGGCAAGAGAGAGAGAGAGATCTTGCACCCTTTAGTTAGAGCATTTAATATGTGGAAATCCTGCAAAACAGTATTACTCAAGACCAAGATGAGGATTACATGATAAGCATGCATGGCATTAGTGAAAAATTAAAGTAATTGAATAGCTATACTGTAGTTTGAACATTTGTACCTTCCAAACTCCAAATGTTAGAATCCTGTCTGTGAAGGTGACCACATTAAAAGTGAGGTCTGAGACCCACACACTGGTGCAGTGGGCTAAGCATCTGCCTGCAACACTGTCATCCCATATGAGCTCAAGTTCAAATCCCAGCTGCTCTACTTCCAATTCAGCTCCCTGCTGAAGGGCCTGGGAAAGTAGCAGAAGATGGCCCAAGTTCTTGGGCTCTGCCACCCACCCACACAGGAGACCTAAATGGAGTCCTGGACTCCTCACTTCAGTCTGGACCAGCCTGAGGAAGTTGTGACCATTTGGAGAGTGAACCAGCAGATGGAAGATCACCCTATCTCTCTCTACTTCTCTCTCTCTCTCCTCTCTCTCTCTCTCTGCCTTTCAAAAAATTATTTTTGAAAAAATAAGGACTTTTGAGAGTGATTAGTTCATGTGGGCAGAGCGCTTGTGATTGGGCTGGGTGCCTTGTAGAACAGGCCCCAGAGAGCTCAGCCAAACCTCTCACCCATGTGAGACGGTTGCTGTCCAGGAAGAAGCAGGCCCTCATCAGACAGGAACTCTGCTGGTGTCTTAACCTTGATCCCAGTCTTTAGCTGTGAGCAACTAGTTCATGCTGTCTGTAAACCATCCAGTCTATGGGATTTTGCTCTGGCAACCCCAATGGACTAGGACAGGCAGCTTCCCAATTTAAGAAGGTAGAATTCTGTATATAACTCTATGTCTATAACTTTAAGAGCCCAATCTTCAGAAAATAAATTGAAAATATTTTACTGGATGAAAGCCCTGGCATTTTGGAGAAATACATCTTTGGGTCACTAATAATAGAAAAATTGATGGTTGAAATCTACAATAATTCTTCTGATAAGTTCAGCACAGTAAAATTCAGCCCAGAGAATAAAAGTAAAGCCTTTAGAATCTTAAGATGCTGTACAGGTGCAGAAGGATAAGAATAAATTTACATTTGATGAAACCAGGAACATATTCGTATATGATCCTGTCATTCTTCTCTTGTGACATCCAATGCTGACCACAGTGTTGTTACTAGTTCAGTTTTTGCCTCTTCTGTGTGTTCAGGAAGTTACTTTTCTAGCTTAATGTAACAATATTTTACATCTAACACCTGGCTCAATGTATATTTGTATTATAAAATAATTAGTTGACATGTATATCAAAGATTTTCCTCCTGTGGTTGATGGTTAGGTTTTTGTACTTTATGCTAAGAACTCTTTCATATGCATTATAATATAGAATTCTAAGGAAAAGAAAGAGCATGCAATTTTAATCTCCATGTTGTGTCTTGAAAAGATTGTTACTTACCTAACAAAACACAATTCTGGGCCGGCGCCGTGGCTCACTAGGCTAATCCTCCGCCTAGCGGCGCTGGCACACCGGGTTCTAGTCCCGGTCGGGGCACCGGATTCTGTCCCGGTTGCCCCTCTTCCAGGCCAGCCCTCTGCTGTGGCCAGGGAGTGCAGTGGAGGATGGCCCAGGTGCTTGGGCCCTGCACCCCATGGGAGACCATGAAAAGCACCTGGCTCCTGGCTCCTGCCATCGGATCAGCGCGGTGTGCCGGCCGCAGCTTGCCGGCCGCGGCGGCCATTGGAGGGTGAACCAATGGCAAAAGGAAGACCTTTCTCTCTGTCTCTCTCTCTCTCACTATCCACTCTGCCTGTCAAAAAAAAAAAAAAAACACAATTCTGAATGGCAAATCTCAGAATTCTAATCAGTGTTTTGCATAACAATTCAATTCTTTCTGAGGAACCCCGAGGACTTACTTTTAATTGGGAATTTACATTCCACCCACATTCATCTCCTTTTCATATTATCTTGCAAAACTGCACCTAAATATTTGTGGAATAAATATAATCTGCATAATATCAACTGTTCAGTTCTTTGAAAACATAATTATTACTCAAGTGTTTTGCTGTTTGTTTTTTCCACCAAGGCCATGCTTAGATTATTCTAGGAATGTCTGGCAATGACATAATCTCCTTCTCCTGTCCACACTGAGTTTGATTGTATGACTTTCTCTGGACAATGAAACTAAATTAGCAAATATGATCCAAGCAAAGACTTGAGAAACCTTCCATGTTGCAGCTTTCCCTCTCAGAGCTCCTGGAAATGCTTCTACAACCACCTGAAGATTGGGATTCCAGCCTATCCTGGTAGAAGATGGAAACACACGCAACAGAAATGCATTGTTTTAGTGGAGGCCCAGTCAGCTCATAGTCAACCCATCAGCCAAGTGCAGATTCATGAGGAAGCCAGGTACTGCTGGCAATAAAACTGGCCAAGTAATTCCAGTCCAAATCTGATGCACAAGATTGTGAGTGAATTACAGCTCAGTATCCATTAAGATCCAGCAATGTGTAGAGTGGTTTATTATACAGCATTGGCTTAAGATCATGGCATTGAAAAGGGACTTCAAAGAAGTGAATAAAGTTGTGTGTGCATGTATGTGTACATATGCAGATATATCATATTTACATATCATTATTTTTCAATAGTGTTAAGTCATTTAAGAAAAAAAAGAAAAAATATCCAAATACCTTCAAAACCTCTCAAACTAGGCTTATAGAATTACTTTTCAAAAGGAATTACACTCATACAAAAGTGAAACCTGTTGAATGCCTAGATAGCTGGGAAAAACCAAGATCCCCAGGTTAGTAAACACAGAGTTTCTACTTTGTTCTTCACTGAAGGCTCAGTATTACAGCCATCATTACGAACACTGGAAGCAAACTCCAATTTCCATCTTCCTTCATGTATTATATAAAACACAGTTAGCTTTCCTGGAGTTCACTGTCTCTCTATAATGACAGAAATTTGTGGTTCCCCCTGCCTATTGTCCTGTTCCCAGTTAAAGAAATAATTAAACAAGAGAAAAACACAGGATAGGTTTGGTCTAGCAGTTATGATGTTGGTTGGTTGCATTCCATGCTGGGTTCAGCTCAGCTCCTGGCTCCAGCTTCCTGCTAACATAGATCCTGGGATGCCACTGTGGTAGCCTCAGTCAACGAGTTCCTTACTACTCACAAGGGAGACCTGGATTGGATTCTTGGCTTCCAGCTTCAGCCCCGAGCCGAGGATCATCATGTGCACTTGGGGTATGAGCAAGCAATAGTTGTATCCCCTCTCTCTCTCACTCTCTGCTCTCAAATAAGTAAATAAATAATAATTTTTTAGAAATTAAAAAACAATAAAACAAATGCCCCCTCTCTTTCTCTCTGACTCTCAAATAAGTATATAAATTTTTAAGTAAACAATTTTTTAGAAATGAAAACATAGTGAAACTATTGTCTGATGATATAGATTTTGGAACAGGCTTTCTTGCATGCCATAAGCTGTACACTTATAGATGGAACTTTGTGAAGTTCAAGGGAAGGAAATGTTATGCTCCATAAGTTAGGTACTAGTCATGATTAATAAAACACAAACTGGCAATGTATAAAAACACATGAAAGTGAGGCCGGCGCCGCGGCTCACTAGGCTAATCCTCCGCCTAGCGGCGCCGGCACACCGGGTTCTAGTCCCGGTCGGGGCGCCGGATTCTGTCCCGGTTGCCCCTCTTCCAGGCCAGCTCTCTGCTGTGGCCAGGGAGTGCAGTGGAGGATGGCCCAGGTGCTTGGGCCCTGCACCCCATGGGAGACCAGGAAAAGCACCTGGCTCCTGGCTCCTGCCATCGGATCAGCGTGGTGCGCCGGCCGCAGCGCGCCGGCCGCGGCGGCCATTGGAGGGTGAACCAACGGTAAAGGAAGACCTTTCTCTCTGTCTCTCTCTCTCACTGTCCACTCTGCCTGTCAAAAAAAAATTAAAAAAAAAATTCTTAAAAAAAAAAAAACACATGAAAGTGTTCCTGTATGCATTTTCCCCACCCAGAAGTAACCTAACAGGCTTGAGATGTAAAATTAACAGAGGAAAGAAGATGATTTAAGAAATTAGATGAACAGTTTGCTCACCTAAGATATGCATTCATATGTCTGCACCCTGTTGATATTTCCTTGGTTCCAGTGGGATCCCGGAGGAGGTGTGTACAGTGAAAGAGGAAATGAGACTCCAGCCCTCCAAGTGCCAATAATAACTGCACTGTCCATAAAGATCTTTGCATTTGACTTTCAGGAATGTTTATCTGAAGCTGAACAACTGGTAACCGTTAAGTCGGCTAGATTCTCCCAGGGCAAGTCACAGCCCTTACAAAGAGTGTACTGGGAGCATCATAAGAGGAGACCATTTGTCATCCAAATAAAATTCAAGAAGGGGATCTAGGAAGTAATTAATACAAAATTAATGTAATAGTACTCTTTAGGTCTTACTATTTGAGATCCGCAATTTTTTAATAATTCCAAAGTGTTCTCTGAGTTAGTAGCAGAATTTTGCATTACCAAGACCAGCACAATTTCAAAAATATTTGGAGTAATGGGACAAAAATATTCATGAGTGGTCTACGTGCCCTTGTATTCCATCATTTCCTTTACGTTGCACCATTTGATGATTTCTGAACCTAAAACATTAATGCAGGTCATGGCCCATGCAAGCATTCAAGGGCCAGTGCGTGAACTCGCAACGACTTCTCACCTTCCGTGGTTCCCAATGACATTGTATGTGGAGATGCTAGAGAGCCACCATGCTGGGAGTGTTTATTTGGAAGCCTGGACTTAGAAGACTCAGTATGGAGAGTGAGCAAATGAGCATTTTTGTATCATGCCATTGAGGCTTGGAAGCTAATGTGTTAGCGCAACATAACATACCCTATTCTGACCAATACAGGAAACTACTCGGGGGTTGTCAACTTTCTAACATGCCAAATAGGAGATTTTGAAAGGATACAAAATTCCTCACCACATTCCATCATTATGTCAAATATTTTCACACACACCTCCTCACCACCAACGAATACAGAAAGAATGTTATTGCAGAACACAGAATTCTTCTTTAAACTCAATAAATGTAGGGTTTTTTTCCCCCATAAAATCACTCACTGATTTTTGATTTTTTCATTTTGCTGGGTAAAAATACTTAATCATTAAATAGCACACCTTTCTTCCTTTTGATAATTAAGAACAATGATTACAGATATTTAAAAAATGGTACAAGAGGGTTATTGAACCAAAGCAATGAAAACAATCCCTGGCAATGCCCAGCTTTACCTGTCTTTTGGTGAGATCCAGATTCTCTGCTATCTTGTATCTCCTCAGTCTAGTCACATAGTTGTGATGGGCAAATTCTGCTCCTAGTCCTTGGATTTGCTCTTGGTAAATGCTGTCCTTTCCTTCCTGGGTTTGCTGTTGACTTCAGACTTGTAATTTCCTTCTTGGGATCTGAAAAAAATTAGTACCAACTCATTCATTCAAATATATGTAATCATGTGATTTACTGTATTCATCATGGCTGAGTTACTGCTTTCCCAAGTGCTGTGCTAGTCTTGGGACAAATGGAGAGCAGAAGCAGTAAAATACTCTCACCTCCATCATGCGCAACACATTCCTTGGTTTTCCAATCTGCCTTCAAACAACTGATGACCTAATTGGAGATGTGTCAAATTTTCTCCGTACAAAACATGAACTGTATATAACCACTCATCATATGATATTATAATAAGATGGACAAAATCCTCTCTAGAAAACAATTTTAGATATGAAATTTAGTAAGTTCTTAACACACAGGCTCGAGGTCTAAGTATGAACAGAATGATTCTCCATTTTTTAAGCATTATTTATTTATTTGAAAGGCAGAGCAAGTGATAAAGTGAGAAGGAGAGACAGAGAGAGAAATCCTCTACCCCCTGGTTCACTCCCTAAATGACCACAAAGGTCTTAGGCTGGGTCAACCAAAGCCAAGAGCCAGGAACTCCATCTGCATTCTTCTGCTACTTTCCCAATAGAATTAGCAGGGAGCTTGTTGGAAAGCAGTAGAGCCAAGAACTTGGGTCCCTGCCGCCATGTGGGAGACCCAGATGGAGATCAGGCTTCTTAATTCAGCCTGGCTCAGCCCTGGCCATTGTGGCCATTCAAGGATTAAACCTGTGGATGGAAGATCCTTTTTCTAGTTTCTCTCCCTCTCTATATAGCTCTGCCCTTCAAATAAATAAATAAATCTCTGAAATTAAAAATAGAAGAATTAGAAAATACCTCTATTTAATTATGATACTAAGTATTTTTATGATAACTTAAGTATTGCTATGATAACTAAGACACACAAGCAGACTCTTGGTTACCCAAGAAGCCACATTCATCTGATGTTAAGAGCACAACCTCTGCCGCTCACCTGCTTATTCAACCCTACTTCTTTCGTTTCCTGACCTTTAACCCAGAATTCATGTGAAGATGGTTAAATTAAGTAAATAATTTAAATAAATGCCCACATATTGTAGGATTCAATAATTAATTGTAAACTCTAACCTTTAAGAGAGGACTGTAGCCTAAGGCCTTAGTATTTGGAAATAATACATTTAATACAATGAAGAATTAGAAAACATTTAAAAAAATAGGAAAAGTTTGTTCTTAAAATGGAGCTCAGTCTAAAATGTAAGAAGTTTAGAATTCACACAATGGGGCCGGCGCCGCGGCTCACTAGGCTAATCCTCCACCTTGCGGGGCCAGCATACCGGGTTCTAGTCCTGATCAGGGTGCTGGATTCTGTCCCAGTTGCCCCTCTTCCAGGCCAGCTCTCTGCTGTGGCCTGGGAGTGCAGTGGAGGATGGCCCAAGTCCTTGGGCCCTGCACCCCATGGGAGACCAGGAGAAATACCTGGCTCCTGCCATCGGATCAGCATGGTGCACCAGCTGCAGCATGCCAGCCATGGTGGCCATTGGAGGGTGAACCAACAGCAAAGGAAGACCTTTCTCTCTGTCTCTCTCTCTCTCACTGTCCACTCTGCCTGTCAAAAAAAAAAGAATTCACACAATGGATAAGTGTGTTCTAATTCACAGTGAAAAATAGCTGAGCTCCTACAAGGAGCTGTATGTTATTTTCTGCCAGCCCACAATGAAACAGAAGGTGTAGCTATGATTTCCAAGGCCCAGTGGCATCCAGAGATGAATTTTTTTCCCTCTGAAAGGTTTTTTTGGAAAGTTTGATGAAATATAACTAATCCTAGTCTGCCCAATTAACTAATATCCGATAGTATAATTGTGTGTGAGTGACTAAGTATGAGTGAGTGTGTGTATGGGTGAGTGTGTGTATGAGTGAGTGTGTATGTGTGACTGTGAGAGTACGCGTGTGATATGTGTGTGACTGTGTAAGTATGGGTGAGCATGTATATGAGTGTGTGTGTGAGGGTGTGTGTGTGTAAGTGTGTAAGTATGGGTGACTGTGTATATGAATGTGTATGAGTGTGAGAGTATGTATGTCAGGATGTGTGTGTGTGTTTCTTCTCCTTTAAAGAGTCCCAGTAAACAGATACATGGATTTACTAAGAAGAATCACATCATGCCTAACTGTTAGAACATACAAAATACTATAACTTGTACTCTTAAATGATTTT